GAAAACCTTCCAGTCACAGTCCGAGGGAGGCGAGTCCTGTGCCATCATGGCTGCGGGCACCAGGGCTGCCTGCGCCAGCTCTACTTGGGCTCCTCGATCACACCCTTGCTGAGGTCTGTCATTTTGGGATATTTTACTTTCTTCTGGTCCAGCTCATTCTGAGCCCAAAGTAGTAGTTTCAGTAATTTTGCCAGCTTGGGTGTTGATTCACGATTCTCATAATCTAGAACAGCTTGGTTAACTTCACTCCACACCTTTTGCCTCTGCATCATGTGGAGAAGGTCTCCAAAGGGTGACTACTCGGGGCTGTCAAAGGCCAGCAGGGCCAGTGTGCGCTCCATCTCTGTGAGGCACTCTCTGCTTTCCTCGCCCTGCTCCGCCAACTGTGTCTGGGCAAACTCCAGTGCTGCCTCAGTCTCACGCTGGCGGATCAGCTCAATCAAATGCTGTTGCTGCAGATGAAAGTACAGATACCGGTTTGTGTCCAAGAGCTCTGGATGGAGGCTGTTGATCAAGGCAATGGCCTCCTGAATCTGGCCCTTCAGGATCATCTCCCGAATCTTGATCCGTTCATCAAGGGTTTCTAGATCCACACTTGGTTCAATTCCAGATTCCATTCGAAATTTTTCTGCTGCTTCCTTAAAGCCCTCTGTGACCAGGTAGTTCATGATGAGACGATTCATGTCTGCCCGCTGGACATGTAAGTTATTGAGCTTTTCCATCCACTCATCTTTCGTAATTTCATCAGGCTTTTCTGCATAATTCATTCTGATTTATTTCGTGCCGAGCCCGCCTCCCGCGAGACCCGGTGTGGGCGGCGGGCACTCCGCGGCCACTCCCGGGGCCGGGGCGGGGTGGCGGCGGTAGGCGCCAAGCAGAGGGAGGCCCAGAACAGTATCTTGTCAGCTCACTTTCAGGAGTGGCTGTTGACCTCAGCAGGAGAGCGTCCATTCCTCTGGTTGGAATTCTACATTGTGCCCCATTGTTTGACTGGGCCAGCATCCTCGGCCACCCTCCCTAGTGGGAGTGAATTAAGTCAGGTCATGAAGAGTGGTCCTTATCATCCTTTTTCTTCCTAGAAAGGCCCATGAGAGTCTGCTTTTCTCCCTGTTGTCAAAAATGAACAAAGTTACTTTTTATTCCCCAAATTTTTCTAAGCCCAAAAGCAATGACAGAGATGTTGGAAACACTTCTTTTTAAAGACAATGAACACTTTGGCCAGTGACTTCCTTTGGCACCATGATGCGTGGTGAACAACGGGCTTCTGTGTTTGCATATCAATCTCAGGACACTGTCTGCTTCAGCCTAAGCCATCATAGTTGCACAGGTAAGCAGTGTCCTTTAACCTGTGGAATTATGGATCTGTGCTCTTAAACAGAATTTCATATTTGCCCTCTCATTGTGACTCTTACTTACCAGCAAAAATGTTATGTAGAGAAGTATCAAGTTCTGGAGAAAAGAGCATTTGTGTTTGCCCAGGTTCTACAAATGGGTTCCAGACTCTGCTGCACTTAGAGTCGACAGCAATAACTTTTATAATGAGTTGTTCTACCAGTACAAATTTCAAGTGTTAGAATGGTGAGTCCCCCTAATATAGGAAATTTATTTCAAAGATTTTATCTTAGGAGGATACTGAGGAATCTATATTCCCAAGACATCCCTGCCCTAAAATACCAAAAACATTCATAAAAGCAGAAAATGGACAACTCACTAAAGGAAAATGGTCAAATTAACTCTAGATAGCTGTTTGTGGGGAATTATTACACAGCCATCAAGTAAAAAATGCAGGCTCCAAAACAATACATTTTCAGGTCTCTATGATCTCAGAAATGGTAAATGAATGTTAAACAAATACTTAAAACAAACATAATGACTGCTTCTGGGTGGTGGGACTGTGCAAAAATTTTCATTTCTTCCACGTACTTTTCCATATTTCCTAAATATTTTTACTATAAATCTGTGTTAACTTGCAATCCAAAAGGAAATAGATGTTATTATAAAGAAGAAGATAGGGGAGATGGCTCAGAAGAATAAGCACTTCCCTGGCAAGCACAAGGATGTGAGTT